GGTCTTAAAGGGTTAAACACCAGAATTAGCATGTTAGCAAGCTGTACGGGTGCATCACACAGACACAGACACAGACACCGGCTCACTGACGCTCAGTAACCTCTAAATACAATGAGTTCCCAGCGCTCGCGCTCAGACTTCTTGGACTAACCTCACAGCAGCCATATTACTGTCAGCTAATGTCACTAAACACGCTCCAAAACACTCCCACAGCACAAACACGCACAGAGCTAGCAGCTACAGCCACCTGTGTCACCATCCACCTGTCACCCAAACAGGCCACGCCCCTAAAAATGCTAATGTATTACAGTTTAAACATGTGAGTTTTTACCACAGAGAAAATCATTTGTAATCAGAGCGCGTCGTGCTGTGATAGGTGTGAAAAATGATGGAGATGTGAAATAACAACCCGGCGGGATGGGAAGGTGAGGGGTGGGGGTTTACCTGGATCGGGGGGTAAGGGTTGGAGGAGCAGGAGGGGAGGGGGCTTTCCTCTCCGTGGGGGTAGAGAGTGGAGGACGTAGGGGAGGGGAGCTCCGGGTGATGCTGTCCTAAAGTTGAGCCGTCAAAGATGCACTCCAGAGACGCTACCTGAAGGACAGAGGAGCAGAGGAGGAGACACGGCGGCTCGCTCAGACAGGAGGAGGAGCAGGAGGAGCGTCACAGACAGACAGACACGGAGAGGCGCTCAGGGAGGCGTCTCCGTACGGATGAAGGTGACATGTTTCTACACTCAACGACCAAAACAACACAGCAAACACTGGACAGACAAATATGGTTCCCTCTGATTGGCTAGTGCACTCGTCTCCACCACCTTCCTGCTTTAATGATAGTCGCAGACACCTCCACCCCCGCAGGCCGCACACATGCGAGACCTGATCCCAGACTTTCGGTCAGTTTACCTTAGTTCATCTGCAGATTCAAACCGACACTCTGTAATTTGCATCAACTTCCTCTGAGTCCACTTCCTGTCAGAGGGCAGATTCACCCCATGATGTGATGTCACAGTATATTACAAAAACATTTACTGTGATTTATCACTATTTTAAACTGAAGTTTTATTTATTTAAACGGCGCCAAATCACAGCAACAGTCACCTCCAGGTCATTCAGACTGTAAGGCAGACTCTACTATAATAACTTTATCTAACAGCATAATGGTTCTCACTGCAAAATGACACTGACAGACACGATGAACGTAGCACAGTCAGTTTAACATTAACCAACAATTTACTGTGAGAAATCACAGAAAATCACATCTCTGTTGCCGTCTGTCCACACAGAGGTTCACATGTAGTTATTACACGTGTTTGTCTGTTGAATCTGAGCAGGATGCCTCCAGCTGCCTGACAGACTCATTCAGCCAACCGGCTGTCTGCGTTTGTAAAGTACCGTAATTGTCGGGCTATAAGCCGCTACTTTTTGCACAAGCTTTGAACCCTGCGGCTTTTAGTCAGGTGCGGCTTTTCTAAGGATTGTCCATGATTTTTGTGATATCGTAAGAGGATTTGTTTTGTTTGTTCCGCTGTTCTCCGGCACTACGTTGCCTGGCGCAAGGATCGGGGTTCAAGAGTGGTATGTTGGTCACATGTCCGTCCGCCAGGCAACGTAGTGCCGTACGAAGTAGCGCGAAAAACAAACTTCAAAGTAGCGCTACGCGTTCAGCGGGAGGCGTGGATGATGAGCGGCGATAAACTTGCAGTTGCACTTGCAGAGAAGAGGACTTTGGTGGTTTTAGTGCAGGAAGAAGAGAAAGATGGTGGTGAATGACTGACTTTTCTTCTTGTTAAAGCCGTGTCACTGCACCTGAGCCTAAAAGGTAGGCCAATCTATTTTTCTGGTGTGCTGTAGGTTATTGTTATGTACTACATTTGTTACTAGTTTATGAAGCACAGTACATGTTTCGTACTTCTAATTATCTACTTGTACATATACCTAAAAAGTTATGCAAATATGTACCCATAACTTGTTTTTCAAAATATTAATAAAAGGGATGTGTCTCCAAACAGCCATCTCTTTCCTGACAATTCCCTTTGTGCATATTCTCTTACATATGATAAGTGAAACACCTGCGGCTTTTAGTCAGGTGCGGCTAATGTATGTACAAAACAGGATTTTCCCCTGATTTTAGCTTGTGCAGCTAATATTCAGGTGCAATTTGTAGTCCGGGAAATACGGTAGATGCACTCATTTGCAAACCTTTGACAACGAGTGCAGTCAGAGTCAGACGGCCACTGTTTGCAGAGAGGTTGCCCTCTCGTTTGTAGTATTCAGACTGCACACAAAATATTGCAATGCTTTGCTGTTTCGATTTTTCACCAGCCTGAAAGGTTAATGCAGTAAAACGGGATGTTTTCATGCACGCTACTATCTTTGGCTAACCCCGACCAATCAGAAGTCACTGCCTGAAGACAATTTAGTGCTTTTAGACAGTTGGGCCCAGCTGAGAGACTAACTGAGGCACTTAAAGCCTGGCTGCTAATACAGAGAATAAGCCGTATGATTTTTATCTTAATATTTATAACAAACTCTCGATGAGCTGCAGCAAATATACAACTCTAAGCTGATAACTGATTCTGTTTATTGACGTTTTGGTTAATTTCCACCAAACAAAGAAAAATTATTGTTAAAAGTGACGATTTGAACATCTCGCCAGAGTTAAACTCAGAACTGGACATCATCTCGCATACTGATGTTTACGCACACAGAGCGCCTCGATGGTTTGAATCTGTACATGAGACATGACGAGAAGAATAACAGAGTCTGAACATCATTACAAATGAGGTCAGATCTTCACAGGTGAGTTCACAGGTGAGCGAGCGATACACTGATGATGAGGAGGAGCTTTGATTATTAACAGACAAACTGGCTGATGGTTAACGGCGTGACCACAGGTCAGGAGACGATCAGTGATCAATGAGCCTGCTGAGGTTTGTCTTTTTGTATTCAGGTCGATTTATTCTGCAGAAACAAAAACGGGTCAAACATTTAGGACTTGATTGATTCTTCAGCACTTTTTGGTTCATTTGTGTTACTTTGAGGCTTTTACTGGACGGCAGGCTGAACCCTCTCAGAGAGACGAGTCCGTCATCTGTCAGGACCGAACACACGAGTCTGAATCAGGCGTGACAACACAACACACGTGTGGAAAACCACATACAACAGGGGGACACGCACAGTGAACAGGCGAAGGCTACAACACAACTCACATTAAACCTCCAACTACACCACAGAACTGCAGAGGCCGATGTTAGCAGCTCACACACAAACCAAAACATCTGTTTAACATCTGGCCTAAAAAAGCCTCATCGAGATCAGTTTATCTCTTTAGATTAGCTAAAACTTTATCGTCTGCACTCAGCGGATCTTTCTCCAACCCTCGGACCACGACGGACTCGCTCAGTCACGTGAACAGAGTTTTTTATTCATGCCTCCTGCGCTCTGAGGCTTATCTGACGCTGGTCTGTGTCCGACTGTTTCAGCGAGTTTGGCTGCTCAGATGTGACGCGTCCTTCCCTTCGATCGACGGATCGACGGAGTGTTTGAACCGTTTGCACCTCGACTGTTTTTCTTTTCTTTTTAACGGTTTTTGTTTCCTGCATAGAAACAACGTTTAGTGAAGTTTCTTCTCACAGGAACGAGAGAACAGCTCTTATACTCAGTGTGATTGTTTTTAATGTACTCTTAATTTAATCTGTTATTGTATATGTTACACATGTTGGTGTGGGATATTGTATTTGTTTTAAATGTTATATACCTATGTGGTATATGACTTTTGTTGCCATGATGCCAGGTCTCTCTTGGAAATGAGATTTTTAATCTCAATGAGATTTTTTACCTGGATAAATAAAAGATTAATAATAATAAAATAATAACATCTCAAAATGTTTGAATCTTTATACCAAACACAGCTCTACACATTTACTCCACCTGTGTGGTGCATTTTTATTCCAGGAGTTCCAGATGTTCACATGAACCTGTGCTGGTGTGAGCCGTGTTTTCAGCACGAGCAGATTCCCAGTTTTGACGCCGTGGACGCTGATGTTAAGCGTTACTCTGAACTATGTGGACGTGCCTTTGCTAAAACAGCACTTATCTTTAAAATTAACAAGCTTTTTATTCTGTTTAAAGAACAAAGCATCAAAAATCTGACAAAAGTCTTTAGAATGAACACAAATCTTATTAAGAGAGATCATAAAATATGATTTTGTTTTCATTTACCTCGTTCATGTGATTTATGATGTAATACCCTTCACAAACACTGGGAGGCAGTCACCTACACTGGGATTTCATACAGATCTCATATTTAAAGCATGAGACGTTAAAAAGAAATTAGAGAAAATTTTGAGATTTCTGTTAAATCAGGTTTAAATTAGAGACTGAAGCCTCAGAGAAAGTCGGGTTAGATCCACCTGCTGTGGCATCAACACCTTTTATTCTCCGGCTCCTCTGTGAGGGCGCTTCGGCCTTCAGATGATCTGATCTCCACACGATGGCAGCAGAGCTCCATCTGCGAGTCGCAGCCGCCCAGCTTTAATCTGATCCCATGTTCTCCGTTACCGCGAGCAGTGCAGCGTGAAACGGGTCAAACCTCCGTGAAATATCACATCTCAGCTAATCGGAGATCGGATTAATCAGCTCTGAGCACGAAACACGGAGGCAGATTTCAGGCAGGAGGCCGTTTGTTCTGTGGCGCCGCTGCTGCACGCTGATGAGAAAACACACTTATGTGACAATCAGCTGGAAATACATCTAACCGAAGCAGCCTTTGTTTTTATTTAAACTGATCTTTTATTAAATGATTTATTCGTCAAACGTGGGAAGAAAAAGTCGTTTTAATGACTATTTATACTTCATTAGAAACTGAAGGTTATTTTCTGTTTTATTTTTACAAATTTAAAGATAATCTCAAACGTTTTGAAAGCGTTAAAGAGATTTTCAGTCTTATTTTAACAGCTCGTCAGAAAAAAGCAGGCATCTAAATACTGTCCGCTTACTACAAAAACACTGGATCCTACACTTCCCATAATGCACCGTGACAGCTCTTCTCCACAGACGATGGGCACACACATTAACGTGGATGCGTGGAGTTGGTGAAATGCTCCTTTAACGGCACACGCAGTCGTTGTGAGAGTAACGTGGAGGCCAGAGCGGCGACAGACACAAACACAGCGGGCGCTGACAGAAGCAGCACGAACAGGAGGCAGAGTCACGTGACTGGGAGCACGCCAAATTCCCCTGGTCGAGCTTCCAGGACGGCGGGAAACAGACCGAGCGCGGTCTGGTTTCCAAACCGAGGCCCGGCTGTGAGAGAAGCTGCTCACATCACACGAGGAAAGCGTTTAAATATCAGCTCGAGCTTTTGTCCTGAAGCGTTTGAGTCACCCAAATTATTTTCAGACTGGGAAAATCCTGGAAACCAGTAGGAAGCTCTAACTGGGCGTTCCAGCAGCCAGAACTGCTCCTTCCCTCTTAATGTTTGGATGAAACATCAGGAGCTGCATGAATGATGATTGCACAGCTTTGATTCTGTTCATGGAAAACTTTAGGAAGCGTCCACTAGTGGGAATTCCTGCCTCAACATCGAGACCCCAAACATCTAATCCTGTAGGTCTACCTCAGGGGGAATTCTCAGGCTCCGCCCACAATACCGTGCGGTGATCTCACCTGGACGTTTACCTGCTGCAGCTGTAACACTGAAACGTGGACCAGAGGAATTTGAAAGGTGTGTGATGGCGTGATGACAGGAAACAGGTGTGAGCTTCAGCGTCAGCATTTTAATGGGTCACATGATGCAACACATACAAGCAACAAGCCTCATCCTCCACGTGTG